ACAAACCCATTACACCTTGTAGTATTCAATAGTATTCACTTTATTTGTTCCTGGAGGGCAAATAATAGGCACATAGAGCATGTCAAATAATCAAATATATAACCAAAGTTATAACAAAAATATTCTTCTTTAACTTATTTGTAGCTCCTACAATGTATAAATAAAAACATTAGACAGACTTGGACAAAATCTGCTCTTAGGCGAAGGCTCTAAACCGAAGGCACTGAATCAATAGTTTTACCAAAAAATGAAAATGTACTCATTATCTACTGACCACAATGCCGATGGTGGGGTGGGTGAAGTGATTGAGTCCACAAAACACCTTTGGAGTCTTAGGGGTAAACGGTGTTGCAGCCAAAACCAATACAATAGAGGTAAATTGGACCCCTTCTTCAGACGTAAAAAAATCAACAGGAAAAAACATAACATAATCCTTCTGTGGTGTCATCCAAGTGTCCCATTCATCATCGTCATTTGCATAGTGTTTTAAGCCTTAAAGTCCTCTGATAACCTCCTCTGAGCCATGTTTGCAAGCACAGAGAGGCAAAACACTGGCGTTAGCTTTGTTATTTCTGATAGTCTACTTTTAGGCTTCTTCTTCTTTTGATGTTTCAGTAGACACATGCTCAATGATAAGTAAGGCAAGGTCCAAAGAGCTTTTTTTTTAAATATCTCACCATCTTTTAATAAAGCCTTCATTGGATTTACCTATGGTGGGAGTCTTTTGGATGCATAAGCCTCTGTGCATTTTTTGGTTTCTCCAGTATTCACTCATAGTTGATGCATGCATCTGGTGTCTCTTTTAAATAAAGTCTCTTCAGTTTGATTGCAAGATCATCTGAAGACATGCCTATGTCCTCCCAGTGTTGGGAGGAATTCTCTGTGCATCTCCATGAGAGAATTCAAATGTTGTAGCCTGATTTTATGTGAGTAAGAAGGTTGCAAACAGCAAAAATCCAAGTATTTGTGTTGACTTGGATGAGTGTAGTGTCTCTAACTCTACACAAGCTCAAAACAACACTGAAAAGGCTTATTTACACCTTCAGAAATACAGTAGACATGCAGGTTTCTCTTATGCACCATAGGAGAAAAAGCACATGCAGGTGAGAGAAGAACACTGTCCTGTACTGTAAAAAAAAACCCTGATGAAACCTTACCCGATGAAGGTCCACAGGACAGCAACGTTGTACACTGAAAGTACAGGACAGTGTGTGGGATTCCACTTCTCTCACCTGTTTCAAGAAGCAGAATCTAGACACAGAAAGGACTAAAGGCCTAAAACATAAATAAAATAAAATAATGTTTTATTTTATTAGTTTGATCAAAGTATGTTAAATGTGTATATATGTCTGTTTTGGAAAATACATAAAGTTAAAGGCTTTTGGTAATTGGTAATTGTTTAGTTATAAACTAAAGACAATTATGGGCCGGTGTGTCATAGCCATTTATGTAAATTTGGGGCATTTTGTTTTGGTCTTACTTACTTTTGAACAGTTGGTAGCTATAATTCCCTCAAGGCACGGACAATACAAGTGGCTTTCTTGGTACTGATTTATTTGAAGCTTCCTCCAAATCCACCGTGAAAACTATAACATACATATACACAAAAGTGTTAGCAATAGCATTAAAACATCAAAATGAAACACATGCCAAGTATAAGATGGCGCCACGAACGGTCGCCTCGGTGTGTTGGTGCGCACTTTTGTGTTTGTTTTTAGTATTTAATTCTGTTTACTGCGACCCTACWCGGATTACTTTCACGATGGACGAGCTTCTTTCCATCAGGGACACAACACCATCCYATTTATGTCCCAACTTTATCGCCTCTTCCGTGGATTTAGTGGACTTACTCATCAAAGGTGTGGTGGTCCTCGGACACGCAGTGAGACTTCGGCGGAGACGACGAGGGAAGCGVGCTGGGGCCCTGGTGCGCTTCAGGGAGCGGGGATTACGCTCACCTCTCCCGAGCATCCTCCTCTCCAATGTCCTCGCTGTGCAATAAGATGGACGAACTGCGCCTCCTCATC